ACATGCTAGCCCAAACGCTAGAATCTGAACTTCTCCTTCCGCTGTTCAAAAGTTGCTCTCATAGAGAGAGGTATTTAGTTGAGAGCACCTTAACCCACAATGCCTCCAACTGGGTGCAAAAATACCATGCAACAAAGCTTCGTGACTAGGGCTTTATTTCTTGGGAGAATGACCGTTCAGCCCAGGGTCAAAAATTTTCGGCCCAAACTACAGTTGGATAGGTGTCAGTTTGAAATTGATGCCAATTCATGAGCAGGCATTGGTGTATAGAGTGTGGGTATTTGACATTTTAAAAGTTTATAGATCAGCAGTGGAATTCAGAAATTTGCATTGGGTCTGTCCGTACTTTTCCGTTATTTCTTCAACCCACATTAACTAGCCCTATGCCCTCCGTTCTCTTTCAACCAATAATTAAACAAATTGTTTTCATTATTAAGATAAATTAGTATAATTTTGGAAAATTTTGGAAAAGGAAATCATTGATTAATTTATATTGAAAAATAAAATATCAGTTAATGCAATTTTGGAAATAAATTATTTAATAAAAATTTATTTCAGAATAATTTAATAATAATTTTTCAAAATTATAGAAATGAAATAAATTTTCCAAAATTTTCGTAAAAATACATTCTAGAAATTAAAAGAAAAATTAATCTACTTTTAAAAATTTGGTAAAATTCCTTCAAAACATAATAAATAATTATTGAAAATTATCTTTTGTATTTTTAATAATTTTCACTATAAATTATTGGATATTGGGTTATTCATGTGGCTGACACTTAATATATCCTTTTGATCCTTTTTGACATCAAATTAGATATTCTGTTTTCTCGTGCATCTTCCGAGTCCCCACTAGTAATCTATATCTATATATATAGCAAGACGGTCCACATCACCATGCCTCTCCTTGCTCCATTACCCCCACCCTTCAATCTCCTTGACTCTCTCTCCTCTCCCCTTCCCACCACTCTTAGTAAGCCAAGTTACCACACTCTCCCTCTCTATTCTACACCCAATTACCTAAAAATATTCCTAAAATCTCTCTCCTAAGATATCTCCTCTAAGCGTATCATGTTACCCCACTCCAATCAACTCCTAAAATCTCTATTCTCTCATTTAAAATATTTATATTAATTACTAAATAGTTAAATACGGTTAATATTTTATCCAACCCATATTAAATGAGTTATAGATACAGTTATTACCAAAAATTAATAAATACTATTATTAATTAACTCATCATGACATTTTTAAGTATTTTGGGTAAATATTATTATATTCATGTTAACTAACAACATTTTATAGAAATTACAAACTCTTTAGTTAATTTCTATAAATTGATAATTATATTTAACAATTATCAAAAAGTATAAAATTTTAGGTATTGCTATTACTATAGTTAATAACCAAATACAGATGGGGGAATAAAATATTATAATGTTGGAAAATGAAATTATTAGTTAATTTATATTGGAAAGTAAAAAATAAATTAGTGCAATTTTGTTAGTAAACTATTTAATAAAAATAAACATGTAATAACAATTTAAAATAATTTTCAACAAATCTACATAATTATACAAATGTAATAAATTTTTCAAAATTTTTCATAAAATAACATTTTGGAAAATAAACATATATTATTGTACTTTCGGAAAAATTTTGAAAGTTTATTTAAAATGCAGTAAATAATTATTGAAAATTACTGGAATATTTTAAAAAATTTAGGAAAATTTATTACATTTGATAGATTTAGAAAATTTTTGAAAATTTGTGTAATTTTCATTGTAAATTATGGAAAATTATTAAATATAAATGGGTATGGGAAAGGGAAAGGGAAAATTATAATTTAAACCAATAATTACACAAGTTATTAAGATAAATGAGTACGGGGAGTGGGTGCCTTGCCCTGAACTCGCCTGACACCAAGATGGGGCAGACTATCTTGACTACTAGGTGGGGACTGGGAGGGGGTGTCCCGCCCTATTGTCGTTCCTATATAATTGTTAATTATTAATGAAATTAATAAAAATGTTAGTTTTTGTAATTATTTTTATTTATTTAAATTTAATCAAATTTTCATTTAAAATTAATGAAAACAATAACAATTATTATTACTACAAATGATTAATAAAATTAAATTTATTAAAAAATATTAATTCATGTTAAATTAACAATAATTATTTTTTGTAAATCAATATTAAATAAAAAATGCAATTATTAAAATTTTAAATATTGACAATAACTTTGAATATTTTTAGTTAATTAGCAGCAAATTTTGATTATTTATTTATCAATTAAATAATAATAAATAAAAGTATTCAATCTTTCAGATTTTCCTGTGCATTGCACGAGTCCCCGCTAGTATATACCAAAGTAGAACATGCCACGTCACATGACCTTTGCTTTCTCCCTTACCCTAACAAAAAACTCTCAACCCTGAACCCGATGGTAGATTAGTAAAATATCTATGGATTTAATATCGATTTTTAAAATATCTCTAACTTTTTCTCATATTCTTATAATCTTAGGATCTCATAATTTCATTTATAAAATACCCACAAATTCCCATAATCCTACTTATAAAATATCCATAAATTAGATCTTTTTAGGTGGTTGCCTTAGGGTGGGGAAATTTAGGATTCCCCATCCTTGACGGGGAATGGGTGCCTCGCCCTGAATCCACCCCTCCACTAGGATCAGGGCGGGAATGGAGTAGAGTGTCTTAACTTACGATGGCAAAAGACAAGGAGGGGTGTCCCATCCCATGCATCGCATGGGCCCTCGCTAGTACAATGATTGGGAAATCCCACTCAATATGATCGTAGACCTTGCTAAAATCAACTTTCAACATGAAATACCCCACCTTCCCTTTTTGTTTCTTCATGGCATGGATGGTTTCCTCACAAATGATGGAGTTGTCTATGATTTGTCTTCTTGGAGTAAAGGCCCAAATGGGGAAATAAGTTGAGGTAGTAAGTGGCATAGCCTACGATCATCTAGGGTATTGACCTACATGGCCAGTTGTCCTTATCCAATTGGCACACCTATCAGTTCCAAAATAAACGATGGCACATCATCCACCTGGCAATGATGACCCTGGTTCTGTCCGCATAGGGAACTAGATGAGGATCTTCAATGCTGATAGAACGTGCCCCCAGAGATAATGGGTCGATAAGCCTAATCGCCCCCAGATATCTCAATTCTCGAACACCTCTCCTAGACCCCGAAGCCTATATAAAGGCACCTCCATGCCTTCACAAAGTATGCACAGTTACATGCAAATTAGCTCTCTAATTCTCTCAATCTCTCTACTTTGTTATTCACCAACTCAGTTGACTTAAGCATTGGAGTGTCCAGCTCATGCCCAAGCCCCCAAGTGCTCTAATCATGTTTTCGCTTATCAAAGTCTATGCAATCCAATGACCAAGTCAAACAAGTCAGCAGTTGAACCATCCTAGTTGGGCAATTTTTTATCGAAGGGTGAGTTTCAATAGAGCCAAACTTGGAATCAAGTCTGGGTGCCATTTCAAATGGTTCAAATGATCGGGTCAACTAGTCAACAATGGATTAAAAACACTAGTATTGGTTTGGGTCGATTTTCAATTTGGTCAGTCAATTCAAAAGATTTTAAATTTAAATTTAAAAAATTACAATAATATTATTAAAATAATAAATTTATAATTTATAATTTACAATATAAAATATTTTAGATTGAAAAATATGGGAATTTTCTCACCTTCCTACATTAAAAAGATTATATTTAAACTATAAAATATTAACATATTTCCATGATCAGGTCAATTCGATTTTGGTTGGTTTACAAATGGCCAAACAGAAACTTACCCAACCTGGTCACATAGGGAAATTGCTGAATCAAAGCCGAACTAAAATACTAGAAAGTGACCAATTCACATCGAGTTGATTGGTTTCATTAGTTTAATGAATAGCCCTAACTAAAAATAATTATTGTTATTTTTTGTATTACAAAAAAATATAAAAAATATTATATAAAATATAAATAATTATTAATTATTTAAAAAGTTAAAATATAAATCAACTTTCGCTTTCCATGTATCACACGGGTCCCACTAGTCCAAATCTAAATTAATAATAAAAATCAAATTCTAATCAAATTAGAGCCTATAATATATATTATTGAATCCAATTGGATATGCCCCAATCTGAATTCAGTTCAATCCGTTTGCAGCCCCATTAATAGTAACTTCTAGTATTGAAAATTCATGCTCATACATCAAAACCAAACTCGGTGCAAAATGCTTTTCGCGGTATTAACAAACGTAGCCATACAAATAAAAGAATAGGGCAACACAATGGGAGGAGGTGGCATATGCTAGTCAGCACCTTTACCTAAATACAACACACTAAAACTAAGGGGGCGTTATTTTTTTAGATTTGGAGGGGGGAAAGTTGGTCAATGGGATTTTAGTTCCCATTGACCAAGAATCCCTCTTTTTTCAATTTTATGTGAAGATCAGGAAAAGTTTATTTTTCTAAATATCACTTACCAGGAAAGTGATACTCGTCCCCTAGGTGGATAAATAACTTTCTCACATAAGGAGAAAATTACCAACACTTGAATGAAACAAAAATATCCCTTTTAATAATAAATTTCTATGACTAAAATGGTCATTGACTACTTACCTAAAAAATAAAAAAATATGAGTAAATACACTTAACTGGATAAATGTTTCTGTAGAAAAACTTACCCAAATAAACTTACCGAAAAGCGTACAAGGCCTAAAAGTAAAACCTTTAAAATGTTAAGCTTTGAATTTATTAAAAAATTAGGTCAATATCATAGACTAGGATCTACGAACGGACGAACAGAATAAAATCAAACAAGCAGCAGCAAATAAATGGAGAGCGAGTATTTCTCCACTCCCCCTACAAGAACCCCTCGTCAAACCGGCCGCAGGAACGAGGAAACACCGACCAACAGCCAACCCGTACAGAATAAACCTGGCACCAGCGGCCAATGCTTAAAACCATCAATGCTCATTTGATTATATAACTGTAAAACCATCAATGTTCACTCCTATTATTGGAAATGTTATTTTATGGTCGATGCAACTGAAATTAAACTAATTTATTAATTAATAGAACAATAAATAATAAAAAAAAAACATGACCTGATGCAACGCCAATGCCACTCTTCCATAGATGCAAGAATTACAGAATTTCAGATATGTTCTCCGTTATTCCTTCGTTGGAAGTTTGGCAAACTTCAATTTCTCCACTTGTGGCAAGATAGAGAAATTAGATTATTTTCAACCAGACTTGAATGAGAAAAGGGGAAAGAGGGGGGGGGGGGGAGAGGACAAGAAAGCACAATCGCAGCCCTAACCAAACCACAACAATAGATCATCCAATAAAGGTGATAGATTCACAACTTTCACCAAAGCTCTTCAGGTTCATCTCTGCGGGGGCTCAACTGTTCGGACACTTGCACCTGTCATACTTTCAATACGATCTTTGGTAATCTCCACAAAATGACCAACCATTTCATGAAACTGCTTTAGCCCAGATAAGGGGAGGATGATGGAAGAGCGATCAGCCCCTGCCACCTGCAGTCATTATGTGAAAATAATTAAGTAAATTGATCAAAGAAACCTAATAGAGATAAATATATTGCATATCTCTTTTCTTTAATAAAATTTTAATTTACCTCTTCAAAAAAAAAAAAAGAAAATATATTGCATATCCCCCCCCCCTACGCACCTCAGATATCCTCAAGAAGTGCCCCCTATTGTTGCTCCCAAGATCAAAGAAGAACCTCTTTTGGTCAGCTCTTATAACCTTGGAAACTCCCAAGTTACCAATTTCATCCTGCGGAGCCAAATCAACCGTCCTTTCTACATTTAACTCTGATGCTGGCGCAGATTGACTACTATGGCCAGAAATGAAGCCAGCACCTACATCATCGGAGAGACCCACAAGGCGTTCTGAAGGTTCAGAATTTTGCTGTTACCAACATAAGAATGTGAAAACATGAGACTCGTCTAAAACAAGCAACAGAAAGCTCTGTAAAGATTAATGCAAAAACCATTGATATAGACCTGATTGGGTAAGAGAAAAAGCCTTGAAGTTTCATTGATCTCTGCTAAGATGTTCCTGAATGCAGCCCACCCTTCATCACGGGCACTTCCAGCAGGAACAATAATTGTGCTACGATTCCTGCTAACTGATGCTTCTGAAACCTGAGGAATTTAAAACACAAAGTTCACACATCTGGTGTATAGACGCACTTTTATTTTGGTATAGGTAAAAAGATTATGCACTTTACAAGATAATGATGCAAGGAAACTGATGATTAAGAAACACAAACAAGGCAGTGAAAGCACATGCAAGACAGATCACCAAAATATAAAGTATGATATTTTAATGTGAACTATAACCCCTCGAAAAAAAAGAGCTTCTAGACCCCAAGGCAAACTGACTTTTTCCCAACAGAAAATTGACATAAGCCAATACATGGGGGCCCGTTAAAAAGGATGTCAATCCAATGATAAATTATTAGTGCTACAACACAGTATTCAGACAGTATAATCATGGGATTGACGCAATGCAAAAAAACAAGAAGTTGAATTAAAAGAACAAGCACACAACAAACATTTTTGTTGCTAATTTTTTTTCAGTCGTTGCTAAATTATTAGGCCCATGTCAGGCCAAAGTAGGAAATATTAATCAATCATGCCAACTCCTCAATGGAGGCTATTACCAAAAAACAAAAAGAAAAAATCAACGGAAGCACTCTCCCAAATTAGAAGCAAATCCAACATGTATCTAAAGCCCACAAGCACAACAGCCACGAAGATTAAACTAGCTATTCTACTCTTCCTCAATTTAAAGCCACTCCTAAACTCTAACCAAACCAAACATAGTTACCAAATTCCCAAAAACATAAAAGCCAAAATCATAATAGAATCCTAGAGATCAAAGAAGGGAGCATGTACAAACCATTACGTATGTGGAGATTTGGAAGGTTGCTGGGCAGTTATGTTTGGGCTGTGTAAAGCCAAAGACCCAATAGGCCATATCTTTAAATACGTCTCAGGTGATCATGGAATGTGACAACATGCAGCTGTTTAAGAATCTGGATAGTTGGAGGGATGCTGTGAATAGAGAGATTTACTTTGTAATCAAGGAGATCAAGAAGCTGTGTTCTAATTTTAATATTAATTTTGTCTGGATCAGTAGATCTAGGAACAGGTTGCACATGAAGTTGCAAGGAGAAGTTTAAATCAGTCCTTTTTTGTAGCCAAGATTCCTCTGTGGCTTTCTAATGTGTTAAAAGTCAGAAGAGAGGATTAGGGTGGAGTCTTGTGTTGTTGCTGAGTTTGTTCCTTTTTCCTTTAACAAATGATCATTTTAACCAAAAGAGAAGGGAAAAAAAAGATGACAAAGAAGAAGGAAACAGATAGCTCATTTATGGCCACTGCCAAGTGCCCTATATAAGAATAGCTCATTTATGGCCTCTTCAAAGCGTCCTATTCCCACACTATGCAACTTTTAGTTCCATAATGCAGTCACAAAGAGAGTACCTGGAGGGTGACTCCAAGATGGAAGGGCTTAGTAAGGGCACTCATGGACATGCACATTGCATAACAACCAAGATCCCAGCCTTAGTCATCGAAGGTGGCCCCAACACTGTAATCTTGTAAAGCCAGAGGGTGTGAAATATACCTTGGAGACTAGAGACAATACTAACAAAGCAATAGCATCTGCTCCGTATCAATCATCAACAACAGAAGGCTTTAATACCCTTGTTTCCTAATAAATGTACTTTTGTGGGTGCCAGAGAGGGGATGTTTTACAAAATTTATGCACAACTTGAACAAGCTGATGCACGATTTACAAGAGAAGATGCAGGTCATTAATTAGTATAAAATAAGTGAGTGAACCATAAAATTTCTTGACATGGTATCAGTAGTAATACTTGTGATACTAAGGACTCTAGACAATCACATGGCAATCGTGGCTGTTCAGTGTGGAAAGGAATTAGTATCCTTTCTTTCATAAAAGATGTTAACTACAAAATTGATGATGGCACTAGGGTCAGTTTTGGAGGGACCATGGTGTGAAAATCAACACTTGATGGATATTTTCTGGCTCTTTTTATTGTTGCTCACAAATGAGATGGAAAAGAGGCAGAGTATTTTGAATGCTACCAATTGGGTTTGATATGGAACCTATAATTAGAAGAAATCTAAATGATTGGGAGGTAGACTTAGTGTCCAAATTCTTAATATTACATAATCAGCAGCCAGATCCCCATTGAAAATGAGATTAGAAAATGTCTAATTGTCTATGGGGTTGTTCAGGAGTTTTCTCATCTTGCTCTTTTTTCTGCAAATTGAAAAATTAGTCAAGGAGAACTTTCAACCATACGGGTTCAGAAACCTGCGGCTTCAACAAAAGTGTTTCCATGGAATGGTTGGATAATATTAAGAAGAGCGCCTCATAGTGGACAATCTAAATAAAGGGATTGACAAGGACAAGACTGATTTTTCAAGGCATTAATTCAAATGCAATGGTGTTTCCTGGAGTCTACAGAGCAGGTATTTTTATTGCTGGAAATTACAGGGACTAAATTAAAGGGGCAGACTACTGTGGTTCTCCTTAGCAACAATTTGGATGCTGTGGCAAGAAAGGAACTCTTATATTTTTTAGCAGAAGAGCAAAGCAGCAAAAGTAATCCATCAACAAAACAATAGGCATGCTTAGATATCACATTGCAGTGGACCATCTTTTCAGGAATATCCCTCTTCCCAACCTTTTTATTTCAATTACCTTTATGGCACATAGTTTTTGGAGTTTATGATGCTGCATTTACAATCCTTGTGTACAGATTCTCATTGTGCACAAAAAGGAAAAATCTCTTGCTTCCACAATTCATTTGGAGTGACTTTTTTCCTTTTTATCATATCACTATGGAAAAGTAGGATGTTCTAATTTTATGTTTCAAGTGCTTAAAACCTGTAGCATGTGCTAAGAGGTATTTGAGATGTATCAGGAATTTGAAAGTCTGATTCCATCTGAGCAATATGCTTATATTCAGCCTATGTATATCTGCAAACAGTCTAGATCAATTGCATAAGCCTTAAAAGAACCATTTTGCATTTCTCCTACCTAGAACTATCGTGACTTAAAATCTTCCAAATAATTTTAAGAAAGTAACCAACTTAAGCACTAAAAATAAATAAATCATAGGAAAATATCTTTTATCCTACTATTGATAATATATATATATATATATATATTATATTCTACTGTAAGGGGATGTTTGATAACAGCTGAGGTGGCTGAACTTGAAAGACTTATTGCCTTGTCTTTTAGTGGGCAAAATAATGAAATAACAAAATGTTCCAGGGCATTATAATCAATCAAACTTCAGCTTCAGCCATTAAGGAGCACACAACCTCCTTAATAATTTTAAGGAAGTAACCACCTAATAATCACTGTTTCTTAGATCATTTCTCAAGCCTAGAAAATACTGATAATAGAAAAGTAAAGTAGACACCACATGTCCAGAGGAAGCCACCTAAAAAGAGAAGAATATATCTCTAGTTCTATTCATACACTATACTCTGAAGAGAAGTAAATTGGCAGATTACCTTTTTTTAGATTAGACAACATCTTGTGCTGGTGGATTAGGGGGTTGAAAGAAAAGGGTAAGTTGGTGTGGCAAGGCATCCCTTCTGAAATCTTCTGGTTAATTTGAAAAGATAGAAAGGCAATCTGTTTCAGCATAGACAATCCTCTCAGGAATGTTGTTAAGGAAAGTTAAAGGAGCACAGCACCTAAATCTTGGCCATCTATCAGAAAAGAGTTCAGGGCAAGGATTAAATCAGTAAATCCCCTTCTATTTTTTTGCAAGCTTTAATTGGGTGAATGCAGTTTTAAATGATCATCGGGTAGGAGTTCAGAAGGAGTTCTTAGCAACAAACATGAATTTATCATAGCCATTTGCTCCAGGCTTCTAGACCATGGAAACTTTACAAGAGCTAAGTTACTTGTGGTGCTACTAGGGCTGCGGCTGGAAACATCACTCAATAGAAGATTGACAGTGGAAAGTTATCCAAGAGTGGTGGTGAGCTGATTAAAGAAAAACAGTCAAGGATCATGGCATTATCATAACACCGTGATGGAGATAAGGACAATGGCAAGTGAAATAGAACTTAATTTCTTTTGGACTCATAGATCAGCAAACACTTTGGGGAATTCATTCTCTAAAGAAGGGGTAAATAGGGTGCCAGTTGCCAGAGTAAACATGGCAATGTTTGTATATAAACAATTTTTTTCTTCTATCTAATAAAAGTTATCAGCTACCAATCAAAGGAAAATATTGTAAAAAAACATAAGAGAAGAGAGTTGCAAACAACCCTTTCTTACCCCGTGACCAATAATAATACAACAATAACATATAGAGATATAATCTGCTTATAACAAGCCATCTTGGAGGTGCAAAATAAAGGACCGCAATAGTTGAAAAGTAAAAAATCACAATTTTTCCATTCGGATTTTTTGCCTATAGAAGAATCTTTTAACATACATAGATGTGAAATTAAGCATTTCCCCATCTGAAGGCATGAGGCATAAACCAGAATGCAAGAGGCTTAAGCAGTTAAACCTCACAATAATGGATATTTAATTGATAAATAACTACAAAGTAAAATAAATGTCCCGAAAGAAGAAAATTGTGACAAATTAGAAAATTTATATTTGCAGTTTCCAATAATAAAACCATATAGTTAAATATAAAACTGAAATATCATTACGTGAAGTATCATCAACCATAACTATATAAATATCATCGGCCATCAGTAAACCACTTCCAAAGTTGCAAATCAGAATTTCAGAATTAACAGTATAGATAAATTGCAGCATATTAACATAAACAAGTATGCCATCTCATATGCATCAAGAACTTTTTTTAACTATTATCACTCCCTATAGATTAACATGATTGACTGTCACTAAACAAAAAAATAATAAAATAAGACCAAAAACAGATGTTAGCCGTCATCATCTAACCTTGTCCCAACTATATGGGGTCAGCTATATGAAAATGAATTCTGTTTTGCCATTCCATTCTGTTTAGTGTCATATCCATCGTTAAATTATGGGTGCTTAAATCATTTATTATTACTTCCATCCAAGTTCCTTTTTGGCTGGCCGCTAGCTCTAACCCTTTTAACTTGTAATAGATCACTTTTTCTAACAGGGGCCATAGATGGTCTTTTATGCACATGGCGAAACCATCTCAGTTTACTTTTCTCATTTTATCACTTGTTGGAGCTGCTCCTAGGTTCCTTCGTATGAAAAAACAGATGTTGCTAGTACTTTTGAAAATAATTAGCCTTCTACTTTTCTACATGAACCAAATGCTACCGACTGGAAAAACTTCAGGAAACAAAGAAAAGAAAGGTCGGTTCCTTCCCCGAGCATAAGGAAGGAAACAAGCAAAGGCCTAAGCTGAAAGTACGAAATTAAATAATATCGTGCATTCCAGCTAAAATCATATGCATTAAATGAAATTTGACACTTTCCAACCATTGGCAGCATAAATTAGTCAGGACCAACTAAAAGCTTTGTCTTTTATTCCGCAAAGGAATTTCAATTATAGTCATGCGCATCAAACTACACAGCTCATCATTGACTCTCTTTTTTGGGCTTTCTTATAAGCTTGTGCATTACAATTATACGCCTTGGGAGTTGCAGACAAAGCTTTAGATCAAGTTTCAATAAAATGTGCAATTCCAAAATTAAGAAATTTCCAAGTATGTAAATTGACTGAATATACTTATTAGCCACCCAAGCTCCACAAACAATCTATTAGAAACTACTTAAAAGGTGGTGAAGACCTTCGTCTTGAGGTAAATCATATTCCATAAAGTAACAAGAAAAGCATATAATCAGTAGCAAAGGAAGTTTACCTTCAAAAAGCGACCCCTTTTATTCTCGCCAATGTCAAAGTAAAACACCTACAAGAACAACCAGCATCAAAATTCTATATCCACTTAAATGGTTGAAATAATAAGAAAAAAAAAATCGAGAGGATTACGCAAAACCAAACAGCCTGAAAAGAACATGCACCTTTGTGTCGAGCTGCAGTTCCTTGCTAAAAACGTCCTGTTCGTCAGAATTAACGTAGTAATTGAAGAGATCTAAGAACCAGGAAATGCCACTAACAGGAACGATTATCGTCGATCTCGTAGCCGAAGTCTTCTCGGAAATCTTCAAATAACGACCTCGAGGGTTCTCCTTCAGATCGAAGTAGAAGAGCTTGTGTTCCACCTGTAGCGTCTTGCACAGCAGTTCGACGTCGTTCCCGCCAGAAGCCCCCTCCATGGAAACTCCAAAGCCCAAAGTTCAAATCCTAATTTAGCAAAAAACTTAAAAATCCACAAAGAAAACTTGTAACAAACAGAGACATGTAACAGTGAGAATGTAGGAGAAGAAATTGGGTGGTGGAGAAGAGGGAAAAAAGGGAATGGAAATGGAAACCTTGATTAGGGGAGGATTTTGAGATCTACTACGCCGGTCGTCTTTTTTTCTTCTGCTTCTGCAAATTAGGGTCAGGGTTAGGGTTTGGAGCCATGGCGTATGGGTTTGACTGAGTCGCATCGTCGCGCGCTTTTTAACGCCTTCGTCCCTAACAAATCGCGATTTTACGCTCCCCCTGTCCCCCATCCCCATAGCCATGGGTGCATTCATTCATTCTTGTTACTTTGTTGTTTACTTCTTACTTGTTACTCACTTACTTGTGACTTACCCCCCTCTCTCTTTCCTACGTTCATCAGAACTCGGTAAATTAAGAAAATCCTCCCACCAGGGCTCCACCAACTCAGCAAGCGCCGTGCTAACATGCGCCTCTCCATACACAGACTTCTGGGTCCTGGGTTTTTTCTGTACACGTGGATATTCTTACCCAAGCTAACTTAACCTATTCGGAGGCTTTGGCATTAGCCACGTGTTAATCCATCACACGCCAGCTCCAATTTTTAGCTAATATACATTCCCGTGTATATTAGGTACATCTCCCGATAATAATACCAGATATAACGAGGCATGGAAGCATCATCGGGAGTTGTGGGACGTTCTGGAAACTATCTTGTAGGGACTGATTTCAACTCCATTTTTCTATACGCTCTCTTTGTGACTGTGCCCCACATGCACATCTCAGCTCTTCCATACTTATCACGGGAATATACGGGTGGGAGCTGCTGTAGGGTGCATGTGGGGCGCCCTCTGTGGGATGGGGCACCAATCGGATCAAGTTTAGTCTACCAAGAGTTGACATCTGTGCCTTACAGGACGTGCCCCACATGCATTCTCGGTTTACATTAGAAATATTTCTCGTATTTGTCATTAGAAGATGTTCTCAATACACAATTAGGATGTGCTGTGAGGCATTTTTAGACATGCTTTGTGGGGTGCAGATGTAAGTTCTCCCTCCAAGGCCCCCACCAGGATAGACCTTGTTTGTATGTTTGATTTTGGTGTTATTGGTGTTGATTCAAGCAAAGGTACTGGAAGAGAAGTTCGGATTTGCTGCTCACAACACTTGCAATCGCATGTCTGGAACATCTTGATAGATATCCTCAATGTGTGATTGTGCTATGAAATTTATATGAAGCACATCCTGTGAGAAGCAATTGTTAATAAATAAAGGGTACAAGAGAATCAAGAATGGGGCCAATGCCAAGTTTCCCAAAATGATGATGAGGATTAATACAGCCAAAACCAAAACCCTATATATTGGGCTTTTTGGTCTATTACTATTACACCTCCCCTAAAAATTCAAATTTGAAAGCCAAGCTACCCCACAGGTCCAATTACAATTATATAAATATATCATCACATACCAACATTGAAAAAAAAATGATAAGAGGACCACCAGCTTTAAGGCTTGTTTGGTGTATGTTTCCATCTTAATCCAATCCAGCTCATGTCCTAACACTTTTTTTTAATTTCAATTCTTTTCTGGTCCAATCTCCACTGGTAAGGACAATTTCTTAATGGCCACTGAGACTCGCTAAATTAAATGAGTTATTGTTTTGTCTTCTCGTGAATAAAATAATTGACAATATAGGGCCCTTTTGGCATAGTGGAGTTGAAGATTGAGCTAAGCTTGTTCAGCTGTTTTCAAGGACTTTGGATAAACCATTCAAAGATGAAATAATTAGCCCTTTAAATGACTGACAGCCGATTTAGACTTTTTTGGATCTTTCACCAAGCACTTTGCATTCAAAGAGTCTATCAAATGACTATGACTGTCAGCTGATTTAGGCTCTTCAAAATTTTAACCAAACATAACCTAGACTGTCTGTAAAGCCCTCCTTGGAAAGCCATAAGCCACTACTCTTCAGTCCTCCTGAATGAGGCAGATTATAATTGAGAGGGCTGAGCTGGATTTCAAGTAAATTGGTTTAGTTGCTTTGAAATACTTTGTGTTTGTATGGCAACGTTGTCGTTGTTCTAGAAAACGGTGATACATCAATGTTACATCAGAAAAAATAGTGATCTAGGAAATTTTTATTTGTTTGGAACCATTTTTTCATGAAAAAACGGTGTTTTAAGCCATGCCTTAAAAATCGAGAAAGCATGGTTTGGAGCAATGTCGGATTTA